TGTTAATCCAAAGCAAAGAAAAACTCCTGAGTGAAGAAGAGCACATCACAACATTTAGTAAATTTCTTATAGGGTTAGTTACTAGTTCTGCAAGATTTAGAATTTACACTTCCAATTTCTAAACGTTATTTTCACTTTGCAGATGGGATAGGTGGCCAGGAAGGGTTTAACCTCCGTGCCTGGAGTTGGATAAAGCAGTAAAAGGCTACAGTTCATCTGCTTGCATGGAGGGTCCTTTTTTCCTCTCTCACCTTGTTGATCGAAGCTTCTGGATCCCTGCCTTGGTGTGCAACATGCTGCCTTCCAGCGGGATTGTTGTTTGCTGCTGATGCTGCACTTTTACAAGCCATCAAATGCTGTGTTGGGCAAGAATATGGAGGAGACAAATGTTATCTCTAAACTACTATGAAAAGCTTGAGCTCAACATGTCTTGTTTTAAGGTGCTGTGTCATAGCATGGCACACCATCACCTATTCCAGCTTCTCATCTTTGTAGAAGCAGTGCATTTGGAGTTCTCAAATTTCTTTCAGTTCTTTCTGGAATGGAGAAGGCTACTGCTTTATCATTCTTTAACTTTCAGGAAAAGATGTAGCAGGGAGTACCGAGGGAGAAAGCCAACTCATTTTAAATAGAAAATGAAGTTATAGCATACAGGCATTACCAGTTAAATAGCAGAAGACACCACTTTTGTTAGTATGGGCCAGCGTTTGAATATATTTTGCGTATGGATGGGTCAAGGTCACTTGATCAACAAGGAAAGGGGGTTTGAAGGGGACTCAGTCAAATACCAGTTGTGTTTTGGTTTGGATGTCTTCTAGGCAATGGAATGGATAATCATGTAACTCTTATTGCTAAATTTAGTAGCTGATTTTTGTTTGTTTGTTTTAAGGTTTGGTTTTAGCTTTTTAAGGTTATAAGTTATTTAGTTTATAATAAAGGTAGTCAACTTTGGTTGTTGATACCAGATATTTGCTTGATATAACTCTGTTGAATTCCAGGAATTGTGACAATCTTTCTTTGCTGTTTGGCTAAAATGCGTTGATAACCTCAGCAGCACTAGAGAGGCAAATAAACAATCTAAAGACTGCAAAAAATACAGGTAGCTTTTCATGTTAATAGAAACTACAGAAAATATTGATGGACTGCATGTATCATATTTATTGTTGTAAAATTGTAGAGCCTTTCTTAAAGCTAGGCTCTGTATGAGATACTTATTGAAGAAAAATTATCGTAAAAGGGACAACTTACTAGAAAAGGTTTTTGTGTATTTTTAAAGAAGCAGTTTTATATCGAGGTCCTGTCCAACTCCTAACAATCTCTGATTCTGTGATATAATGGTCATTGTGTCTGCCCTGATTATTAGACATGGTTAAAAAAACAAAAGCAAGAGAAACATTTATTTGTTTTCCCATCATATGCTTCAATTGGATGGTGTCTTCTGCTGCCTGCTTTATATTCTTCTACAGGTTATTTTTAACTATGCCAGCATAAATTCACGTCACCTTAGAATATGGATGTGCAGGTTTAAAAAGCTGCAAACTTACTAAAAAAAAGTTTTGTTTTAAACTCCTGAAATAGAAGCAGATGACTGCAAGTTAAATGTCTTGTTCAACTATATAGTATTTATTATAGTTTAAATAACCCAATGCAGAAGTATAAAGTGTTCCTCCCCCTGGTCTTCTGTGTGATAAGGTGACAAAATGACAATCTGTCTCAAGCTTTCAGGGTTTTTTTAATCAATGGCTGTATTCTCGGGCTGAATGAGACCAAAAGGAGGAGAGTTTGATTTTCCTGTTTATAAGAACATCATCTTTAAAACCCAGGTATTTCTTCTATTAAAACCAGAAGAAATACCAAGTTTCGCATTTGGGTAGTTCGTAAGGTTCAATGATTTTTCCACAGTTGTCAAACCTAATGGCGTAACTAAATTGGGAACACTGTTCTACGCACACTCAGCTTTTCATTAGTCACTCTAGTGCCTTATTTTATTTCCAAACCAAGCCTAAGCAACATGGATGATAATTTAAGACTGAGTTTTGGAAGCAAGTGGTGGTGTTTCTGTGAACGTAGAGGAATGTTACTATTGAGGGAAGTTGCAAGGCAGTTGTCATTAGACTGTTTTAGGGTTTTCTAACTTCATTTGAGTATCTGGGTTGAAGAAAAAAGATTTAGCACCTAGAATGTAATAGCAGTGTCAAGGCTGTGGGTTCAGATTCCTTAGTTCTTCAGTCGCTTCTGAATGAAATAGCTCCTCTCGTCTCCTTCTGGCTTTCTACCCTTCACTCCATACTTTTTTAGGTTAGGATTTTGCTTTTCAAATAAGTTGTCTCTGAGCAAGTATTCTTTTCCTTGTGTGTGAAAGCACTTTCCTAGAGCAGCTGTATGGTGCTGATTGATCTTTCTGAGCATGCACAGCACAATGGTTGTGAAGAGTGATAACTAAGTTTAAAAAAAAGAAAATTAAAGGAAAAAGAAATTCTGTGTAATGGTTGTGCAGGATGCCTTAAACATCTGTGGAAAAGATCTCACATGAAACATACATAAATTTTCTTGAACTTCTTTTGAAAGCTCTTCTGAGAAGTAAGATTGATGCCGGGTATCCTGCTAGAATTAAATAATCTGAAGATCCAAGATGGATAGGTTTCCTTCAAGGTCTGGTTAGCATATGGAAATAGCATGTGTGTATGAGTGCTTGTGTGTGTATGAAAAAACACTTTTTTCTTCTGTTTTAAACAAAGGGAAGGTATTGCAAAAATCTACATCAAATTGGCATGGCAAGAGGAAAAAATGTATTTGCAGAAGCTTAACTGAAAGTTTTCTTCTGTTTCAGGATTTCATTAAATATTATTGTACCTAAATATTAATGTTTTGTGACCACCAGAGTGCACGATGTTCTGATTGTGGTGAACCTCTCCCATTTCAGAGATCTGAACATTTCTTTGTATAGAAAGTCTACACAAAACTTAACTGAGTCTGATATTATCTTTGTTTATAAGAAATTCTTTTCAAAGTTTGAAATGGTTGCTTTATGTTGTTGAATGGACATGTTATTCCCCTGTGAAGGGTAATCACATCCTTAAAAACATAGTAATGACCAGTATCTCTAATGAATAAACACTGTTAGGAAAAGAAGTTATATGACCGTTCGGTCCCCATGTGTTGCCTGATCTAGTCGAGGTTGGATTAAATGATCTCTAAGGTCCCTTCCAGGGAGGTTGGATTAAATGATCTCTAAGGTCCCTTCCAGCCGAGACTATTCTATGATGATTCTATGATGATGACACACTATTTGTGCTATTTCCATAACACTTTTGTTTATGAAGAGCTCGGATTAACTTGTGTCTCACAGTGAAACTGAAGGGCTTTTATACCAACCTGGTGTACTGGCTGGGGAAAATGATGCCCTTTAAACCATTAATGATAGAGTGGTACCTTTGGTTCTAAACAGACTTCTCTTTTGCTAACATTTGGTTTGCAGCAAAGTAGCTTGCTAATAATACAGTAGAAAAAATGGCCAATGAGATATCTGTATGTAGTGAGGAATTTAAATGTGTTGATGAGACACTGAAAGTATGACTGTTGGTACCACAGAGTAGCGAGTGCTGAAAAGATGAGTTGTATGCATCTGAGTCTAATTTGAACTGTAATAACTAGAGGCAAAAAAAAGATTGTTCATGCTGTACCGTTAAGATTTTGGTAAATGAATACTGATGTGCATATAGTAGGATGGAAAATAATACTTTACATGTTGCACTGTTTTGCTTAGACTGGTGCAGTTTTATTTGATACCGTTTGCAGTGCAGATCGTGTTACATCTTCTTGGACTGATTTTCCTCCTGTCTTGTGCAAAGCTACTGGACCACAGAGAAGACTGCCCATTGAGAAGAAATTAAATATTTAAATAAAAGATATTTAAAGTATCCCATGTTTTAAAAACACACAGTTAAGTTCTTGGTATTCATTCCTCCTTGCTCAGCTGCTGTACTCCATGCAGCTATTTGTGTTACTCTGTAGAAAGGGGAGAATGAAACAAATCATTTTAGTTTCTCCAGAATGTGTCCTTTCTGAAAGAAAGAGGTGGCAGCTCTGTGTTTTATTACATCAGAGATTATTTAATCTGTCACATTGTGCCATTATTTAATGCTAGAGTCATGTCTGCTCTCATTAGTCAACTCCTTGATTAGTCTTTTGGGTAGTTGCTAGTGGGTGTGGTGGTACCACTGACGCAGTCAGTTTATCGTTTAAACTTAAAACTTTGGTTTCATCAAATTAAAACATTTTCTCTTGCATTTAGACATTTTGCATAGCTTCTAACTATTTTATGAAATTCAGTTAGGTAAAACAGTGAGCCAGAGAGTCTGAAATACAACCATTCCGTTAAAGGGAATGTTTTCAGGAATAATATCTTTTATTAAAACCTGTCTCATTTTAAAGGACTATCTTTTGACTTGATTCACAGCTAGGAAAGACTGTTCCTCATGAAACCAAAGTTTTGTCTTGCAAGTTTAGTTTATTGTATTACTAGAAAACAAATACCTTAAATCTAGATCATCATGTTCTCTGATTTCATAGGCTTATGTATTTATCTTGTTTATTTACATTTACTCAGAGTTCTGCTTGTAATTTTACATTAGTGTTAGTGTAGACAAATGTGGGAGGTAATGCAGAATACTTCATGCAATTTTTATTTTTGTTTTTAAAAATAAAGTTGCCTAAACAGGTAAAAACTGAATGGAAGAATATGATAACGATGTCCTGGGGACATCTGTTCTTAATTTCATGTGGTTTAATAGTGATGCTACTTCAAAATCGACTATTTTTGCTTACAGTGATTTTTATTCAGCGTATGACTATTTTGGAACCTCATCTGACAATTATTTTTCTCTCTTTTACAGACTGGCCTTTGACATTCTTTTCATGAAAGACGTTTTCAAGTAGTTGTCTTGTAATTACTTTGAGAAGAAGTTCTATGTAGCTCTTACTTCAAGAGTGCTGCAAAAATGATTACTTCAGATTTGCCAGTACTACAGTGAGTATAAGTTTCTCTCTGTATTTGAAACCTTCTGTTTAAAAACGTTGAAGTAAACGAAGAGGTGATTGTGAGAAAAAAGCACAAGCTTGAGAGAAGTGCAGATTAATGTGACTGTACCAGGCCTCCTGAGTTTTTGTGTGCTGAAAAAATGTATAAAGAAAATAAACCACTTAATCTAAAAGATATTTCTTTATATGTGTGGAGATTTAATTTTGCTGTGAAAAACAAAATCTTTGCTACTGTTACGCTTCTGAATGTTGTGAGATTTCAGAAATGTGTATGGGCTTTAGTCATAACTGACCATATTTGTATATTCCAGTTTCATATTCTTTCTTACAATATATTTGTATTCATTAAGCTGTATTTGTTGTGCAAAAAGCCTTTGGCTCCTGCAGTTGAAGAGGGCGAGTGGCATTAGCTACTTTCGATCTTGCTGGTGAGTTGGAGTGGCTTATGCAAACGGGAGCATCACTGTGCCTGGATCAGGTGAACTACTGGAAGGAAGGGAGTGAAAGTCTATAATGAGAGGAGCTGGAGAGTGAATCAAGTAGAGTTTGGAAAGGAATTTTAGAAACAGGAACAAAATGGCACTGTATCGGGTGCGGTGGGCTGCCGTGGCTGGTTGTCGGCAGCTGGCGCTCCCCGACTCGGCAGGACGGGGGAGAGAACGAGATGAGAAACACCGTGGGGCAAGGTAAAGGCTGGGAATCCACTGAACAGTTGCCCTCAGGCAAAACAGGCTCGTCTTGGGGAAAAATAAGTTTAAAAAGATTTGGGTGGCTGCGAGAAACAGACGAAAACTACAGCCCCCCTCTGAGGGGCCCAGCCATGTGCGGCTCTGGCGCTGTGGGAACTAGCTGCAACCGGCCAGAACCGGCTCAGGGCAGCCCCAGCCTCCCCTCACAGAGACTCTTCAAGCGGCGCCTGGGCACGGGCACGTGATAACATTAGATAACTACCAAACGTTAAGTTTTTTGCCTGGAATGAGGTTACAAAAATAGAAATTAGCAGTTTCTCAAGGCTGACCGGTGTTCCAGGACTCAGATCTCTAGTGCCTTGACTCAAGAAACTGAATGCTTGGACAACTGTAAAGTTATTTGTCTGAACTTAACAATAACGTGCTCTGCGCTGCCATTTTTTCTTACATTTTTAAAACCTCTTCCAAATAAAATTTATCTGCTGTGGGTGAAGTCAGAAATTATGCTGAGGGGGCAGCATCAGCCCAGGGGGGTCTGCTTTGCTTTGAGGGTAGATTTGGAAACTTTTTTTTTCCCAGTTCACATTTTTTTGCATGTGCCATGTTCAAGAGGTGAGAGTGTGCTTGTGCAATATGCCGCGGACAAAATTCTGGGAGATTCTGTCACGGCCACAGTAGGAAAGGGATATTCCCATTCCCAGTTCAGGAAGCTGAGTGGCCTTAAATGAATGAAGTGTCATAGAGTTTAAGCTTAAAAAGTGCATGTTAATAGATTTGCTAACTCTGCACACCAGCTGGAAAACCTGAGGGACGTTAAAGATGTTAACATATTTCCGAATCAGAGGACAATTGTGAGCCACCAATGTTATGCTAGCTTAAAAAATGAAAGAAAACATGTATGGTGTTTTTTCTGGCGGAGCTGGGAATCCTTTAATTCCACTATTTGAAATATTGGTGAGATGTCATTATCAGGCTTTTTAAACATATACATGTCCCAACCAGACTTTCATCAGAAAGGAGTCTGGCTAAAGGGAAGAAAGTCTGAAGCAATCTTTAGTTTAGAGTTATCAGCTTCACACGTTTAGGTTTGGGAAGCCACAATCCGGTTCTACACGGAGAAGGGCAAGGTTTTCTTTCTCGCTTTTAAATAAGTAGCTTTATAATCTACAATTTGTGTGCCTTCTTTCTACTTTTTCGTGATATTTTCTAGTTTTTTTGGCTACCCCCTTTGAACAAAGGATCCTGAAGTCAATTTGATAATACTTTGCTTGGGATCGTATTGAATATTCCTCCCAAATTCTTCTCTGTTGAGGGAACATGAAAGGAGAAATCTTTAATCTTTCTGTATTCAGACAAGTGGCTTCAGAATGCAGTAAAGACAGGATTTCGCTTTAGATGTGTTTTAGATGTAGGGGAAAAAACCTCTGGTGTTTTTGACCTGGGTGACTGACTATTATGAGTCTGCTCTCAATGGGATGACTCATGTTTGCTATGAGGCATGTTCTTCTTTAGATTTTGAAGATCAACAATGAGAGCTGATTCATCCATGATTCATGAGCCTGTACATTTAGCCATTTTTCTTCATGAATGCTTTTCTTCACAGGATGGGTCTGGTGGTAGCAATTACTGAATTTATCTCTACTAGAAACTTGAGCCACCTCACTAACATCAATAAAAGCTTATAGAAGCATTTTTATTTACGAAAACTGAACATAGGTTTATGGTGTGGTATGTTTTTAGGAGGGGAGTTTTTAGGGGGAGCCCTAACTTCAGATTAGGGCTTTATATAATAGTGGAAGGTAAATTTGTTTTGGTTTATTTTGCAAAGATCTGAAATTTACTGTGTCAATGGAAATATGTTCTTCAGAAGCATGACATGGTAAAGGGCTGCCCAGTAATCTGTTAATTCTTCGTTACCATGTGGTTAGTTTCAATGGCTTTGTTGCTAATAGCTTTGGAATAATACCTGGAGTTTTTAGGAGGGATCCTGGAGTTACTGCTGATTTTCTAGGATGCTTTAGCCACCACAGAAACCAGAAAGAAAAACAGAGTAAATGTGAACCCATAAAAGGTGTTACCACTTGTCTTCTTTTCTCGGCCCACCCCAGTCTTGTAGGTCTCTCACACTGCCAAATTCTGTCTCTGTCATGTCAAAGGTGTCTCAGAGAGGAAGGATTTAGCCTTAGGCACTGCCAGCTCCTCTTAGATAAGGCAGATTTCCTTAGGGCTCAGATTATTTTCCCTCCTGGCAGCTTCAGCAAAGATAAATTGTGACTAAGCCTAAGTTTTCCCTTCAGCTGACTAGTCACACACACGTAAAACAGGGGTAGGATAATTCTGGTCTATTAAGATGTGGATGACTGCCACCAGATAAATTACTTCCTAGCAGTTCTGCAAGATGTGTAGGGAACGAGGAGATGGATGCTGGCCAGATGCTCCTCTCAATGAGTGTTAAAAACCTGACAGAACTGCAGGCAGTTAAGAGATGTTTTATTCCTCCTCCGAGTTCAGAAATAAGAAGAAAAGGAGCCTGCGTGTGTGTGCCCTGAGCAGCTGTAAAGCCTTGACAGAAGCAAGCAGCACTGCCTCCCAAACTGAAGGGACTTAAGGCTACAGTGGAAGGGCCTTTTTGTGTAGGAGTGGCATGATTCAGACAGAATTCCCTGCTGCTTGAAATTGTGTTTATTTTAATGTTAAATCAGCCAAAGACTGTAGGTTGTCCTTGATCCTGTCTCCCTACTCCAAATAATGTGAGGATTAAAGGGAACTTTCTAATGTTTTCCTCTTACTCCTTACATACTGGCATTCTTTGCCAGAAATAAATCTCCCGTCTGCGTCATGTATTGTTAGAGTGAGATTCATCTTGTTTAATTTTAATCATTTATATTTGAGCTGCTTGTCTAGATCACCTCACTATGAATGGAGAGTTGAAAACAGACGAAACAAAATGTAAACTGTCAGATCAATTTGGACACTGACCTTAGCATATGGTATGTTGCACCTTGAGATTTTCTGCTTTGTTTATGTCTCAAATTTGGATTAGATGTATTTTACGCTTAGTGCTTACTTCTTGAGTCTTTCCTAAAAGGCTTCCAGCAAATCAAAGAAGTTTTACAAGAAAAATAGTAGAGAAGCATGGTTATCGGATTTGACACTACGGGTGGTTAATGATTAAACTCTTCCTTCCATATGCAGTGTTCCAAAGCAATTGAAATTTCCAGAACCAAATACACAAATCTCAGTAGCTTTTGTTAGACCTGAACAGAGGCCATAAGTCAGTCAAGTTCTCTGTGGACCTACTGTAATTAACCAATTCAACTGTACTTCTACTGTGCATGCAGAACAGTAGTACAGTTGAATTTATTTATGTAGCTCTAATGTTTCAAGGGAAGTATTTGAGCCATTTGCTAGGAAGACCACTGAATCTGGTTTTAATAGAGTAAAATCTTTATCCTGATGATGTTAGGAGTGAGGTTTTGTAAGCTAGCAATGCTGGAGCATTCCCCTCAGGAAAAGGGGGTATTGCTTAGACCACATCATGCCTAACATTTTTTTTTTGTAAGGATCTGTGTAGACCAGGGATAAGCTTGTTTTTTTTCTACAGAGAGCAAGAGAGAATGGCTTTAATTTCTCTACAGCAGTTGAAAACAGCAGATATTTTTATGGGATTCCTTATTTCTGTATTCAAGTTACTTTAAAAAAAATATTGTCATTGTGAGGCAATCTGTGTTTTTGTCAAATCGAGTTACAGTGTTGGTGACTGGTCTTTGAATAAAGACTTCCCTCTGCATAGACATAATTTTCAGCTATATTCACTGTATTGCTTTTTCACTGTCATGGTCCTGTTTTACTGAATGATTTTGAACTGTGGAAGGAATACCTTTTATTTGGTTTTAAGCTTTTTTACAAGATTTTTTTTTTAATTTGTAGCTTGATACTGATTTTTTTAAAATGTCGTATTTTGTAAAGCTGAAAAGTTACTTCTCTTTATCATGATAAAGTTGCATTTTCAATATTTTGTAGAGATACTGTTTCACAGGGGTATGATTTGGGGACTCAAATGTACTCAAATACTGTTTTTAAATCTAGGGTGTCTGGTTTTCTGGGAAGTGTAGAGTATTTACAGATAATCCAGTAAGTAACTTTCAAAAAAAGAGATTCATATATGTTCTACTGCATTCTAGCTTTTGTAAAGCATTCTGTGGACCTCTTGGTGGATTTGTGCTTGGAAATTGGAAAAGGTTGGGAAATAGTGTCTTAATATAAGAAATTCATCATAGTTCTGCAGAGTCATTTGAACGAGGGCAGACCTGGAATAATACAATGATTTCAATAAAGAGAAGTATCAAAATGTTATTGATTCTGAGACAATGATGTTTGTATATTTCTGCATTACTTTCTTGGTGATACAGCAAATATGTGAGGTATTCCTGATTTATAAAATAAAATTAAAAAATAAAGCCTAGACAACATGGAACATCTGTGTAGATCTTGGCTTGCTGAAGCTTCTCAGTTTCTGTAAATCAGATCACAAATGCCAACAATTATGTTTGAGGCTGTATTAAATAATGGAAGAGGTCTGATTTTCACCTTCCCCTTGCACGTTTTTATATAGCAATTTTATTTTTTTATTTTTTATAGCAATTTAACTCCTTTCACTTCAAAGAAATGATACTGAATTTAAAGGCACCTCTGATTAGGCTTAGGCTTGACCCATCTTTGAGTAGTCTGGCACATTGTTACAGTTACTCATTCGTTTAGAGTTATCTCATGCACTGATGGTCTTGCAAATTAAAAATGAAGTACATTAATACCAGGTACAGTTTTGCTTGTGGCCTCTTCTTGGGCAAAATCTAATGCCTCAAAAGAGCAATTGCAAGCGGAACTTTTTCAGGGAGCCACATCTGTTCTGAAAACAGAAGTGCCTGTGTACCTGGCTTGGGGGAAGATGACGGGAGGAAACTTGGGGTGATGTTTTTTCCTACTTACTATGGTCTTAAGTCTAAAACAGGAATGATTGAAAAATTATTCTGTGGGCTTCTCTGCTAGTAGTTGTTGAGCAGTGCCAAGGTTTTTTCATTGTACAAGTGAAAACGTTTTTCTAAAGCAAGAATCACAAATGTCTTCAGATCAAAGTGAGCTTTCTGGTTTGTGCACCGTGGTCAGTGTTAATCCTCTCTTTATTAACAGCTGCACAATACCATTGTCTTAGAGTGTGACTAAAACCACAATGTAACCCAAGTAGGAACTTGTGTAACTGTTCTAATGATGTGATAGCTGGATTAGACTGCAGTTTGTTTTCTCATGGCCTTGAAAGCAGCTCTGAAGTGCTTTTATTAAAAGAAAGTTGATACTAGTGAATACGTTGTGGGATGGACATTTAGAGAATGTACTGTTTAATATAGCCAGTTTTTGAAGTGTAACATGGTTTCAAAAGAAACTGTTAATTTAAATAACTTCCAGTCTATAAAATGACATTCCAGCTCATAAAAAGGTAAGGCTTTTTGCCAGAGCTAATAATGCTTAGTTCCATAGTTTGCAGAATAAAGTGGCAAGCCTTTTAATGCTGACTTTTTTTTTTTTTTTCCCTGGTTTAGGACTAAATATTTAATCAGTCAGTTATAGATTACTTGTTGATTTCAAATCATTTTAATTTATCTAGTGTTTTTCCCCCCCCTAGGGATTCTACAAATGAAACTACTGCACATTCAGATGCTGGCAGTGAGCTTGAAGAAGCAGAAGTCAAAGGAAAAAGAAAAAGGGGCCGTCCTGGCAGGCCTCCAGTATGTGTAATTTAGTTTTGTTTTGTTATGCATCTATTTAATATTGACTGCAAACTGTTTTTCATCTGATCATCTTGTGGTCATGTAAATAGGCTTTTAATGAGCCCTATGTCAAATTTTAAGACTTGTAGTATGAAATATTTATCAGAACGATATACGAACAATGTTTGGAGTGTTTAAAAAGGGACATAAAATAGCTGTTATTTTTAATTTTGCTAACTGCTTACATGAATGTTACAATTTTGTTAATATGGTCATATTAGAAGGTTCTTCTAGATGCAAGAATAATCTCAGTAAGCACAACCACTTTCTGTTCTGAAAGTTGTAATGGATTTTAAGTGACAAATGGCATCTGAGCCATCCTTTTAGTAACTGATAATCTCTTGATGTGAATGGAAGAGTTGCAGCATAGTATTAACTGAATGCCTGAGAAGATTGATTAACAGATCTTAAAAATTCATGTAATTGACTTATGCTGTGTCCTAAGTACAGCCTGGGAGTTTCAACCTATTCTCTAGCATAGTGCAGCAGATGGTGTTGCTGTCTGCTCTTCTTCAGTAGTCTTTGCCCGTTGCTGGCCCATGAATGGGAACATACAGAAGCATTCTTTATCACACATAGTGTTTAAGGAGGCTTTCTCTTTTAATGCATTTTATAAAGTAACAAATTTTGTGGAAAATACAGAAAAAAAATTGTGTGTGCCACGTTGTCCTTCATTTTAATCCTTCAGGGTCACCCAGTCTAGTTCTCTTGATTATATCACTTGAAGTTACACACTGTGGTGTAAGATTTTGGGTGGGAAGTTCTGTATGTTTGTTATCAATGGTTTGATTCTCCTCTTAATCTTTGTCTAGAAGCACACCTTTGGTATGAATGTGCTCTCTCTATAGTGCTAATACATTGATTTGTGTGGGTTTTTTCACCCCAGCACCTTCCATCCTAATTCTAACTCCTTAATCATGGGCTAATGAGGCTGTAAGAATGGACAGAACAGCGTGTTCCTCTCAAGTGTGCCAGCCAAGCTGGAGCAAACTCGTCCTTAGTATTGATTTTCAATTTGTATCACAGTTTCTCGGGAGCCAACTTTACTTTGGGAGCCAACATTTTAAATCCTGGACTTTACTAGGCATGTCATCTTCCTTTTTGAAATCTTTTGAACAGTATCTCCTATGGTGGCATATATTCTTCATCGATGGACAACTTGGCTTACAAACATGCAGCATCATTACAGGAAGCTTTAAAGAAGCATGTAAAGAGAACAGGTCATCTGTTTGTATCATTTGGAAGCAAAGGACAAAATCAGAAATTATCTTAAGAATAGCTCCTTAGTAAATCTATGAGGTTTTGCATATACAAGAAAAGAAGAGAATAGTGCAACCTGATTGCAAACCCAGAAGGTTGTCAGAGTGTACGAATTTAATTAAAACGACACTAGTGGTAATTTATACTCACCACACATTCCCTAGAAAGAAAGAGTGAATGTTAGAAACGGTGTTTCTCATCCCTCTGTTTGATATTACTAGTAATTCCTCTGGAAATACTCGCTGAAGCACTCTACTGGTCCTGCCATCAAGTTTATACAGGAGCCAGTTGCTCATTAGGCTTTGAACAACTCCAGACTCATTAAGTGTAGATGATTGTAAAATCATGAATATACAGAGGAAGTGATTATTGCTTCATATGTAAAATGATGGGCCGTGAGCTGATCGTTGCTGCTAAGGAGCAAGACCTTAGGGTTATCGGAGATGATTCCATGACAGCATCATTTTAATGCTCAGTAGGGGTCAAAAAACCCAAATTCAGTCTTAAAACTCTGAGGAAGAGAATAGAAAATAAAACAAATACTGTGTAAAACTCTCAACCTCTGCCCCCAAATCTCAGGAAGGGTGAATTAGGACTGGAAGAAGTTCAAAAAAGAGAAAGAGTGATGGTCAGTCATGGAATCAGACTAGGAGGACCACAGGAGGTCTCATTTGCAACCTCCTGCTTAGAGCAGGATCAGCTTTGGGATCAGACCACATTGCTTGGGGCTTTTCCAGTATGATGTTGAAGACCACTAAGGCTGGAGACTTCCCAGTCTCTCTCAGCAACCTGTTTCATGGTTTGGGGGAAAAATTTCTCCTTGTAGGCAATCAGAACCTCTCTTGCCTCCGTTCATGGCTACTGTCACTTGTCCTCCCCCTGTTTGCTGCTGCAGAAGGCCTCACAGGGGAAGTGTTGCCAGCCCCCTGACCATGTTGGCAGCCATCTGCTGAACTTGTTCTAGTTTATGGATAACTCTTGCGTTGAGAGGGCCAAAACTGGACATGACATTCCAGATAAGAGCTAACAAGTGTGGAGTAAAAGGATATAGTCACTTTACTTGGTCTAATGCTGTATTCCTGTCTGTGCAGCTCAGGGTGCTGATGGCCTTTGCTACTCAGACCCGTGGCTGTCTCATAGCCGGTTTGCTGTCTGCCAAGACCCTGTTGTCCTTTCCCACGGAGCTATTCCCTTACTAGCTGGTCTTCAGCCTACGTTGGTGCGGGGGTTTATTCCTCTGCCAGGGACAGGTCTTTGCACTTATCCATGTTGGATTTTGAGGGTGCAGCTAGCCCAGTCCTCCAGACTGGCAATAACACTCTTGCCCTTGAAGTCATCAAGCAGTCTCCCTGCCAATTTGGTGTTATCTGCACACTTGACAGGAGGACACTGTCTCACCCGCTCCGTCTATCTGATAAAGATGGGAAACTGGACATGTGCCAGTTAGATTTCTGTTGTCCTCCCTCATCGCCAGCCTCCGGGTAGAGGATAATCCATTAACTGCTGTGCTCTGAGCCCAACAGTTCAACCACTTGTCCACCCATCTAGTTGTCCACCCATCCAGATCACAACTTTCCAACTTGGATACAAGAATAATTTGGGAGGCTGTTGAAAGCCTGGCTGAAGTCAAGGTAAATGCCATCTGTTGCTCTCCCCTCATTCACAAATTCAGTCATTTTGCTACAGTTTTTTGGGTGACTTGACAAAAGGTATGTAATGTTGGGATACACAATCAAATCCTGCCTTTATAATTGATAGTGCAGCAACAGGAGAAATGAATAAATAATGTTCTACAAAAAAATCGCCAAAAAGGAAAGGTCTGCTCAATGGTGGCAAATGCCCTTGAGGAGACAGACAAACAGTTTAGAAGGTCTAGCCAATTATATTTCTGGCATTATTTGGTATCAAGTGTCAGGGACTTACTAACTGAAGTATTAGTTTTACAAACATATTTCACCTTCCCTTCTCCTCCACATTGCTCGCCTGTCCACATTGCTAACCTGTCCACTTTCCCCAGGTGGATTATCTGTTTCTTACAGGAGGTATAGCTCTGACATTTTTCCTCGCACTCTTACACTTGTTAATGTGATTTCTGATTTCCTCTGCAGGTGCCACCTACCTTTACTCTCAGCTGTGAAATGGATTAAAATATTTAGTTAATTTCAGAGCTCTTTTTCTCAACTGATACTCAGCTTTAATGTTTTTAATTTCTGTTGTAGACCTAAAGAAAGGCTTTTCTGCCCAAAGGCTCTTCAGTTTTTTGGATTGCTTTTTTTCCCCCTGACTAAAATATTAAAGATCTAAGGTCTAATAAGATTTAATCTCTCCCTGCAAATGCTGATTTGCTTATGTCCTTAGGCCATCACAGCTACAATGACACATCTGCCATAAACATATTGACCTCTTTTGGAGAGAGAGTTCACACTTCTGTGCAGTTTGGTCTAGCTGCATGGTGCTGTTGCACAGAATGTACTCTATGCAATATATGTATATGTCTAGGTATTTATTTTAAATGGGTTTTGGTTTTAGTGTTACAGAATGGACTTGATCTTGTATCAGAGAGATAAGAGTACTGCTAGAGGATTTTCCAAACCTTTCTCCAAAGGCATTCCATTTTGCAGATTTGAGACTTTTGTAAGACTTTTTTTAGACTTATTTGAAAATTGGCCATTTTTACCAAATAGCTCTTCAGTATATGGAGACCCTTAATATTTTGGAGAACTTTCAATTCCTGAAAATGCTGCTTTCCAAGTTGTCCCTCCAATTCTGTAAGACACTGTTCAAATCATGGAATCACAGACTGGTTTGGTTTGGAAAAGACCTTAAAGATCATGTAGTTCTAACCCACTGCCGCAGGCAGGGTCACCTGCCCCTAGACCAGGTTGCTGAAAGCCCTGTCCCACCTGGCCTTGAACACTGCCAGGGACGGGGCATCCAAAACTCCCCTAAGCAGCCTGTTTTAGCGTCTCGCCACCATCTCAGAAAAGAATTTCTTCCCGATATCACACCTAAATCTACACTCTTTGTGGCCTCCTCTGGACTCGCTCCTACAGGTCTGTACCCTTCTTAATGTTGGGGGCCCCAGAGCTCAACACAGAACTGCAGATGTGGTCTCACGAGAACAGAATACAGGGGGAGAATTGCCTCTCTTCCTGGCAACTCTATTTCTGATGCAGCCCATGATACGATTTGCGTTCTGGGCTCTGAGCACACGCTGCGGGCTCGTAGTCAGTTTTTGACCACCAACATTCCCAAGTCCTTCTCTGTAGAGGGTCTCTCAGGTCACTCGTTGTCCAGCTTGTGTTTGTGCTTGGGATTGCCCCAACCCAGGTGCAGCACCTTGCACTTGGCCTTGTTGAACTTCATGAGGTTTGCATGAGCCCAGCTCTCCAGTCTGTCCAGGTCTCTCTGGATGGCATCCCTTCCCTCTGGTGTGTTGGCTGCACCACACAGCTTGGTGTCATCAGCAAACCAAAGCTGTAGCTCTTTCATAGACGGTCAGTGAATTTCTCAGGCATTATTTGCCGTTAGAAATCCATGTTGGCTGTAATTCATCACCTCCTTACTCTCCACGTGCTGTAGCACAGTTTCCAGGAGGATCTGCTCCATGATCTAGGCTAGACAGTCAATTTGCCAAGAGAATAATGTATCGGTCCTTGAAAATAACTCTCAGAATCTAACCTGAGTTGTCATCAGTT